TTTGGAAAGCTCTACCTCTAACTCCTCAATTTTCCTGACTTGGGAGAGACTCTTCACTTTAATGCCTCAGAGTTAAGTTTCAGCCGAGGCCAGTTGGGCTATAACAACTTCCTTATCGGCAGCGAGCCGATCCATGTTCTCTTTCCATCGGTGGAAGTCAGTCTTAACTTGATCAACCTTGCCTTGGAGCTGTCCAATCATCTCCAACATTTGTTGCAGTTGAGATATCGAAGTGTTAGCCTCCGAAGTAAGGCCAAGAAGACTATACTCTATTAAAATTACATTTACCAGCTCGTCTAGCTCGGCCTTGTTTCTTCGAGCTTTGGCCAAGTCAGCCCGAAGATCCTTGAGCTCCTTCTCTTTTTGGCTATAGAGGACCCTCAAGGCCATCTCTTCACCCGAAGCTTTCTTGAGCTCCGCCTCACATTGGCCCAGATCGGCCCTGAACTTGGTAACGGCCTACACGAAAGACAGAGATGTCAATTAACACAGAAGGAGAATAAAACAAAGAGTTTTTTGCAACAACAAAAATTAGTGCTTACCTGGGAGAAGAGACGTTGAGCTTTTTCAAAAAGGGTGGATCCATCGTTAAGGTCAAGGACATCATCAACCCTGGTGAAACAGTCCCGAAAAGGGTCTTCTTGGAGAACCTTGCTCGAGACAAGTATTGGCAGAGCATGAGTATCCTCTATTGCCTCCTTAGAGTAATATGGTAGAGAAGGTGAGTGACCCATTTTCACAACCCTGAGCTCCTCACTCGAGGCACTATGATTAGCTTCGGCCCTTTCAGCACTTGTCCCATCTGGCATATTTGTTGAAAGAGGGGGAATAATCATGATATCGGGGGACTCAAGGGTTTTGCCTGAGTCTTTCTTCGATGTTTCTTCACTGAGGGGCAAGGTATCAGTTTCGAAAGACTTGACGACCTCGACTGGTTTCCTAGTTCGGTTCACTAGTGCTGACTCTTCACCATCATTCTCTTCGTCTTCCTGATGGTGGATGGCTGAATCCAAATCCACGTAGATAAGATTCCTCCTTGGCCTTCGAGTAGGGGCCCTCTCACCTTGGGAATCTTTGGGCTTCGAAGCCCTTTTTATTTTGTTGTCTTTCCCCGATTTCGGAACCGAGAACTCGGTCTCTTCCCCGGATGGGGCTGGCCTCATTTTAGAGACTTCTCCTATGCCTGCACAAATAAGCCTGAGTGAGGTGGTATCACTAACAAAAGGAAAATATCAAAACCTGAGAAGAGAACTTACAATGTTGTTTGGCCTCCCATTTGCCCCTCGATAATTCGTGCCATTTGCGCTCATCGTATGAGGAGGTTGAAGTTAACTTTCGGACCTAGTCCTTGAGGTGGGGGACCGTGTAGGGTGTCCAAGCAACAGTTGCAGAAGAGGTAAAGGCATTATGAAACACAGAAGTAGAATATGAATGGGTATTTAGAAAAAGGACTTTCACTTGCGATTAAAGTTCCATTTATCCCAGAGTGGCATCTTCTCCCTAGGGATGACATTCGAGGTCCTCACTCTGATAAACCAGCTCGTCTAGCCTTGGTCTTTATCTTCGTCGTTACTAGAGAAGAAGGCCTTTTTTGATTGGCGTTAAAGCTTGATGAGCTCTCGAAATAGCTGAGGCCGATACAGCCGAATGAGATGGTTGAGGGTAAGCCCCAATCCCTCAAACTTGCTGGAAAAATAGCTCAACATGATCACGATATGCCAAAAAGAGGGATGGATCTGACCTAGGGCAACCTTGTACCCTTTGCAAAAATCGATCACTACCGGATCGAGGGGACCTAGCGTGAAATGATAAGTATAAACACATAAGAACCCTTCCACGTGGGTAGTGATGCTCTCCTCGGGGCTCAGGATCTGTACCACGACCTCGTCTCTCCAGCTGCAATCCTTCTTCATGGTTTTGAGGTACTTCTTTGATATCGAGCAAATGTATCGAGATACATGTTCACATCGGCCTGTGATATCGGGGGATTTTCAACATTAAAGTCTTTCTTTATCACGCAAGGGCCGGGGTGATTTCATGAAGAGCCGGCGACACTGCCGATTTGGCTAGCCGGGAAGTAGAAGAGGACGATGCTTTCTATTTTTGGGGGATTGTTTTGGTAGTTTTAGCCATAGATTTAAACTAAGAAATATGGGCGGTAGCACAGCATGGTGTTTTATGGGAGCTTGGCATTTTCCGGTGATCAGAGTAAGAAGTAGTGAGAAGAGAAAGAGATGAAGGGGAAAAGTAAGCAGAGTAAATACAATGAAGAGGTAAAGTTTTTAGTTCAAAAGAGAAAACCCATATTTATAGATGAGAGGTGACGGTTCGGTGGCGCTAGTGGCCGACCATTACTGGCGTGCATTTAATGTTTTGGGAAAGTGAACTGCCAGGACGTTTCAGTTACTTCGAGCGCTTATATCATGAGGTTGTCGTAATCATCAAGGGCTCCGAAAAATAGAGGTTCAAATCGTTTCTTATCATTTTACTCTAATAAATGCGGGGACTATCTGTATACGGTGAAATCAGGTGCCCCTAATTTAGTAGGCTCGAGACGTCGCACCGAGGGTAGAAGTTCGATAAAGACTAAGCCCGGGCTCGAAGGCAGAATAAGAGGCTCGAAGACCTAAGTGTTCCTGGAATATTAGAGCCAAGTATGACCGACTCCGAGATAATGTCGTTATGAGTTTGTTACAGAATGACATGATTCTCGCCACGTCCCCAAGATCATGGTGTAAATTTCAGAATAGATTTGTACGAATTAGTACAAATTCCTACCAGGCGGTTATACAGTTGTACTAATAAGATTCCTTAGTGTAAATGGAAATGTACCTTATTTAAGGTTCCCCTCCTATATAAAAGGGACCTCAATCATTTGTAAACATGATCTAATCATTGGAAAATAATATACTATCTTACTTTTTGCTCATTGTTCATCAGAATTGTCCTTTAGTTTTACTATTCTTGCTTCATTGATCTAGCTCGTCTTGAGTTCACTAGGCTCGAGGTCAAGACTGACCTATCTACTAGTTTGATCTTATTTTCTTCATCTATACTTCATATTTCTTAATTATTAATTGGTATTGAACTAAATTACGTATCTTTAAAACCACAAATCAAGCTTAACTGTTACTCGTATTTTCGAGGTAAACAGATACTTTGATAGATTGCAGAAGTTTTTTTCCAGATATAAATTATGATTTTACATTACAAACTTTTTCAATTCCTTCTTAGTTTTGATAATAAGTTATTCTATGTGGATGATATGATATCAGGTAGATGATAAACTACAGATTGAGTCATTGAGATTTTATCAATTATGAGAACTTAATATTTGTTCTTTAACTTAGTGAAGTATAACCTTGCTTCAACAATATGCTACTGTGAATCACTCAATTCCCCGTTAGATATATTTTTTGAGCAAATAGGAATTAGATATATTAATAACTAAGGAACATCTAGTACATAGTCGACATGACTTGCATCTCGGAGGATGCATTTGTTTCCTAAGCTTGGTAGCCTATTACAAGCTTCATTACATAGAAGTTTTTCATGACAAGTAGATTCAAGTTTGTCACTTTCAACAAAATCTGTTACATCAAAAGGTGGTACGACAAGAACTTTTTTAGTAAACTTCATTGTTTTACTTCTTCCTGCCAATCCCTGAGCTTGGCTGTCCCTTTCTAGGACCCCTTTTGCTAGCTGGTGGGTAATCCTATTCCCCTGCCTGAAAGTGTGCTGGAGAGTAACCCTCTGGTGGTGCATTAAGGACCTGCAATCATTAACAGTTTTGTTAAATAATTTATTACCATTTTGTATTGCCTGGATAGCCTCTGAGCACTCTGTCTCAATCTCAAGTGGGAAGAGATTCCATTCCTTTGTTGTTCTTAGCCCTTCTCGTAATGCTTTTAATTCAGCTGTTAGGGAGGCATTTGCATGTGCTAGTTTTGCAAAACCAACCACCCAGCTACTTGTTGCATTTCTAAGAACACTACCTAAACCATAATTTTTGTTATAGCTATGAAAACTGGCATCCAAATTTAGTTTGTACCACCCCCAATGGGGTTTGAACCAGCTGGTTTTTATAAGGGATTTGGGAGGATTAATAGAGGATTTTCCCATGAAAAGTTTAAACTCCACTGCCTTTTGCATGATTAACCTCTTATTTGGTTGGTAATGTTGTTGATGTTATTACTGTTTCTATTAATCCAGATATGCCAGATGATGAAAGGAAAGAAGTTATTCCAGTTTATAAAGTTATGGTTTATAGGAATGTTGAAGTCCCTTATTTGGAGAAGCCAGTGCTTCCCACTTCTGTTGATAGGGTGGGTCCCTTGCAGGTCGTTCCATAGATTACTGACAGCCCTACAGTCAAGGAAGATATGTTCAATTGACTCTTCAATCGGGTTTTTGTAGATGGGACAATTAGAATCAATGTTTATTCCAATCTGTGAAAGGTACTTCCTGCAAGGGATTAGACTATGAAGGCATTGCCATAGGAAAAATTTGATTTTATTGGGGCACTCCAAATGCCATATCCATTCAAGGTCAGAGTTAGAATTCTTCGGAGATTCTAGCAGTGTATAACAAGAAGCGGTGGTAAAGACTCTTTTAGTGGTGAGGGACCAAATAGGTAAGTCAATAGGAAGGCCTTTTGGCAGATTTTTGTTTTGGAGATGGTAGTTAACAAATCAGGAGAGAGAGAGAATGTTAAGTAGTTTAGGTTCCAATTGGTACCATCAAAGATATCTCTAATTTTAGTGGAGAAATCTTTGGCTGAAGGAGGGCCTATAACTAGGTTCCTTAGGTTACCAATATTTGGTATCTAATTGACCTCCTATAGATTAAGATTAGAATGGATGTGAGGGGACCATGTGATGCCTTTGGAGCAGATGTCCTATCCTCTGCAAATGCTTTTTCAAAGGAAAGAGGATCTATTCGCAGAGGAGTTATTGCAATAGTACGAGATGATAAGCTTTGCCCAAGGAATTAGAGCATTTTTAAGGAGTCTCCAGCTTAAGCTAGCCATAGTACAAAAGTTTTTATTAAGAGCATTATGGATCTCCAATCCACCATATTTTTTGGGTTGGCATATAGTGGTCCAGTTTACCAAGTGAAGTTTCCTTTTTTGTACCGTACTACCCCAAATGGAGTCCCTTAGGACTTTATCAATCTCTTTAAGTGTTTTTCTAGGGAGTAGGGTGTATTGCATGTAATGGTTTGGGATGAAATTAAGGCATGATGACGCAAGGGTTATTCTTCCTGCCAAACTAAAGAACCTCATTTTCCAGGATGCAAGTTTGGTTGTCTATGAGGAATTGGTAATCCCTAGGTTTGGGCTGTGGTGGAGGATAGGGAAATCAAGGTATGTTCCAAAGTTATTACTCTTCTTAATACCTAGAGAAGTGGTAATGTTAGTGATGATTGAGTGGTTACAAGTTTTTGAAAACAAAATCTTTGATTTAGTAATGTTGATGCTTTGACCAGATAGAGAGCAAAATTGGTCAAGCCCATTTTTTATGGTCTGACAAGATTTAGCATTAGCTCTAGCCATCAGAGAAAGGTCGTCAGCAAATAATAAGTGGGAGATTTTTGGACATTTATAACCTAGGGAAATAGGGTCCCAATTTTTGATGTCCACTTGGTATTCTATATATCTGGTAAGCATTTCTAGGCAGAGGATAAAGATGTAGGAGGAGATGGGGGTCGCCTTGTCTAATACCTCTACTTGGTTGAAAATAGTTTGTAACAGCTCCATTGACTAAGATTGTTATTTTACTGGTAGAGATGCAATTTAGTAGTAGTTTAGAGAATTTTGGAGGCAAATTAAAGAAATGTAGGGTGTGACGAATGAAAGACCATTCAAGACGATCAAAAGCCTTTTCCAAGTAAATTTTCAGAATCATATGGCCTTGCTTACCTTTTAGTTTATTGAACTTAGAAATCATTTCCTGGATGATGATAGCATTGTCAGAGGCTCTTCTATTTTTCATAAAGCTAGCCTGATATGGACTGATAAGTTTATCAAGGAAAGGTTTGATACGATTGGCTAGAATCTTGGTAATTAGTTTATAGATAGTGTTGCATCAGCCAATAGGTCTGAAGTTTTAGATATTATTAGCATTATAGAATTTAAAAATGAGGCATAGAAAAGTTTTGTTAATTCTCGGAGGGATTTTTTGGTTGTTAAAGATGTTATGGCAAAGCTTCTTGATAGAATCCCCTATATGGAACCAATATTTTTGGAAGAAGAAGGAGTGCAGACCATCTGGTCCGGGAGACTTGAATGGTTTGAAAGAGAAGACTGCACTTTTAATCTCATTATCTAAGAGGGGGTATCTAGATGATCTAGGTTAATTTTTTACATTTGGATTGAGTATTTAGGGGGTTAGTCCAGGAAGAGTGAGTATGAGAGGACGTAAATGCAAAGGTAAAGTAGTTTTGGACATGGGACGGAATAAGACTATGATTATTTATCCAGTTACCAGCATTATCTTTGAAGAAAGTAATTTTATTTCTTATTTTTCTATTGGTGGCAGAGATGTGGAAGAATTTAGTATTGGTATCACCATCATTAAGCCACATTATCCTGGATCTAAGTTTCCAGTAGTCTTCTTCTATCTTTAGAATATCATTGAACTCATGTTGAAGATCTAATTCTAATTATTTTAGGAAAGAGCTGGTAGCGTAGCTATTAGAAGATTGGATGCCTTGGAGTCTAGCTAAGAGTTTTCTCTTCCTTCCCATGATATTGCCAAAAGTGTTGTCCTTCCAAGGTTTAACATTATCTATAAAGTTAGAGCTAGCCTTAAAGTAGTCACTATTATTCCAGGAGTTTATAACAACAGATTGAAACTCCGGATGTTTACACCAAAAGGTTTCTAAGCTAAAAGGGACCTTATGAGGAGTTCTAATTCTAGGAATTAATTCAACTAGGATAGGATTGTGATCAGAGTGGGTTCTAGGTAGATGGATAATAGAGCTTTTAGGAAAAAGTTCAATCGATTCTTCATTTCCAAAAATCTTATCAAGTCTTTCTAAAATAAGACTCTTATTGTTATGTCTATTATTTGTCCAGGTGTATTTGCTTCCCTTGAAGCCTAGATCAACTAGATTACAATTATTAATTTTAGACCAAATATATTTAGCTCTACTATCTTTGATTGGTTTGCCTCCAAATTTTTCACTAGCGGTTAAAATGTCATTAAAATCACCACCTACTAGCCAAGGTCCTTTATAAGTATTACTAATATTTTTGAGGTTATCCCATATCATATTTCTATAATGACTATTGGTACTAGCATAAATTGAAGTAAAGAGCCAAGGTTTACGTAAAGGATGTACCTCTATGGTTGCATGGATCTCCTGACCTCTTCTAACAGCATTTTGGACGTTGATTATATCATCCCTCCACATCATAACCATACCACCTGACTGCCTCTCCGATGGAACTTCTATCATCTCAGTGAAACCAAATTCATTGAGCATATCAGCATGATTGTTCATCCTTGTTTCCAACAAAGTACCCAAGCTCGGCCTATGAGTATCTAGCATCTCCATAAAGTTCCTTCTAAAGTTGTCATTGTTTCCTCCTCGTCCATATTATGAAATTANCATTGCTTTGTTTCCCACAGTTGGGTCGTGTGGAGGGCGAATATCCATCGAGCACTTGTATAGGACTAACAGGCAGCTGAGAACATACCTCTTCGCGTGCCTCTCCGTGAAGAGAAATATTTTTATTCCATCTAGGTTTGAGAGTTCTAGGGTTGGCCCTAAGTGAAGATTTAGGGGGACACATCGTCCTCCTCCATCTCTGCCTCCACTGGCCCTGGTATGGGGTCTTCTTGTTGTTGCGGTGGGGGTACTGGTGGTGGAGGGGGGGGTACCATCCCTTGGTTCCCTAGATTGGCATCCCAAGGGAGAAATAAATGGGGTTTAGGTAGGTGTACATCTCCGTTGGAAAGAATGGGAAGTCCAGTGGTGCATTTAAAGGGTGCATGGGGTTGTATTGAGGAGGCATATTCCATTGTTCTCTCATTGTTTGGGCCATTTGAGGGTTCAATGATGGAGCCATGGGATGAATGACATTGTTGAGCCATACTTGGTTGAGATAATTGTTCATTGCTAATCTCATTCCCTTCGTGATAAGTTGAGCTAGATATTGAGTATTGTGCAAGATCACAATGGCTTCTTGGCCGTTGATCGGCACTGTGAACGAGAGTGCATGGCCCATGATCCCTAACTCCATCCAACTCGTGGGTTGATAATCTTGTTCTTGGGGAGGTTGAGCGTAAATAATTTGGGGTTGTTCGTGGGGATGGAGGGGGGAAAGTTTTTCATTTGGAGAGGGTGTCGTTGTCTTATGATTTGGATTAGTCGAGTTCTTCTCCTTAGGGTTGAAGGAACTCTTGGAATTTTGGTTAAAACAAGTTGAATTTATTATACTAGAAGTTGGCGTGGGATTTTGGGTAGGAGGAGAGGTTAGCCGGTTGGGTGGGGAGGTGATGATTGCTTCATTTTTGTCTATGGCTTTTGATTGCGCTAGGTCATGTTTTATAGAACACTTAAAGGTTTTGTTTGGATTACTAATGGGAATGTCCATTTGGCTATTTTCTTCTATGGTCTTTGCCATTTGGCCAACATGCATGGAGGGGGAGATCTTGTCATATCTTAAGGAGGGATTTTGGGTAGATTCTTTAGATAATGAAAGATTTTGGAGAGATTTCGATTTAAGGAGGGGGTTTGGGGTAGTAGGGGTAGGATTAATAGTAGGGGTAGATTCGTCCATACTAGAGTCATTTTGCATGGCATTGGTTTTCACTAAGGAGTTGGAAATATAAGGTGCCATGGTGGAGTCTTGCATGCAAGTATCTTGTGTGTCAAGATCCAATTCATTATTTAATTGATTAAAACTATTTTTACTAATAAAATTGACATTATCCATAATGGTTTGTGTCATAACCATTTGTCTCTCTTCTAAAAGGTGGTTTTTCATGTGAGAGGTAGTTTGATTAATAGTCGATTCTGGATGGGTACTGACGGGAGGAATTTGATTATTAGAAGGATTATTTTTTGTTTTATATTGGAGTGTTAGAGTAAACAAGAACTTACTTGTTTTTGCATTGAATAAATTAACCGAAATACCTGGACCTTGGTTGCCTTTTGCATGGATGGTGGGCATTTGGTTTGGAGTTTTTTTGCCTTGATTCTTCTTCTTATTGAAGGAGACAGTTTTCCATTCAGAGTCACAAGCATCTTGTGTAGCTACTTGTTGATGTTCTTGTCCTGCATGGTGAGGATCCAAGCTTTGCATTTTGATATAGGTGCATTGTCTTAGTGTGTGACCAAAACGGCCACAATTTTTGCAAAGAAAATCCTCCCCTTCATAGAGTATATCCTGTTTATGATCTCCAACAAATAGGAAGGATTGAACTGGAATTTCCAAAGGGATTTCGACACAAATCCTTGCATAACGACCTCTTAGGGTTGTTGAGGTGTATGTGTCAATTTTCAGTAGGCGTCCTATTGCATTACCAATATTTTCTAGGATTTTACCATTGTAGAATTCAGTTGGTAATTGGGGCAGCCTTACCCAAACTGCTGAGGTAGTTAGTTTTTCATTTCTAGCCACAAAATTTGGTTTCCATTTGGAGATAGATAGGAAATGACAATTGATGAACCATGGCCCTAGGTGAATAGCTTTATCCATGTTTTCTTTCTTTGTGAATTTGATAATGTAATAGTCCTCACCAAGATCAATTAAAGGGAAGTTCTCTGTTGGTTTCCATAGATCTTGGATTTTCCTCTTTAGGTAATGGTGTAGCATACGTTTCCCTACTAACTTGATTATAATAGAGTATTTACATGGCTCATAGATACGTTGTCTATCTTCCAATGAAAGAGAGATTTGTATAGCTTCACCTAGAGTATTCCCTGGATCATGCACTACTTTTGTGTCTTCCACTGCCTTTGTTGGTTCAAGCATATCATCATGATTTATGGAAGGAATGAAAATTGTTAGGTTAGATTTCAATAGTTTATCCTTAAAGGATATTGGTCTCTCCAAATTGTTTGGTAAGGGAGGGTGTTCGATTAAATCTGGTGGTTTTAGGGGAATAGTCTCTTGTTTCTCAAGGGGTTGGGAATGCATTCTAGAGATAAGTTGGAGTTTCTCACTCTAAACCCCAATTCTTCTAATTCCCCGTTAGATGTAGAGATAGAAGACTTGGTCTACTATATTATATTCTTCAAATGATTAAAGGAAATATTGACAGGGGCACTATAAAAAATAAAATAAATAAATAAATAAATAAATAAATAAATAAATAAATAAATAAATAAATAAAATAAGAGGACTTATAAGCTCCGGTTACACTCGGGATTTGGGAAGGATCGTACCATAGATCTATAACCTTGCTTTTTTTTTAAAAAAAGGTTATTTTCAAATGCGTGATCTCTTGTGGAACTACGAGGAAGAAAAACAATATCTTAAAATAAACTTTTTATATATGACATTTTGATATCAAAACAGAAAAGGGGAAATAAAGAATTCTGAAATTTCTTCCCCATTGATTTCAAGTGGTTTCTGTTTGCCTCAAAAGATTATAAAGTCTTTTTGAGCAAATCAATCAAAAGATGAAGGGATAAATCGTAGTCAAACTTAACTAATTCCAGATTGAGAGATTTCATAATGATGATTGTATATGGGACGAAGGAAATATCAGCAATTTTATTAAGATTCAACATTGCATTCCTCATCGGTTGATGAGGAAAGATCATTACAATTGTTCTTATTTTCGGGATATAGGAATGGAGTTTTTTATTTTGACTTCCCTTCTCAGAGAATCGAAAAAGCCCCCTTCTTGAAAGCCTTCCTTAGCTATATAGTCGAAGTTTCTTTACCCTCAATGTGACTTGGCGCGTTTTGGCCAATGATGCATTCTGGTCGTAACTTTAGGCGTTGCTCCTTTCGATTTGGCGGATATCTCGGAGGAGAAATGGAGTGGACTCAGTTGACTTTCACTACCCGATTGCTAAGAAGGGGGTCGTGGGCAACCTAGTCGTGATGGTCAAATTTTGACCAATACAGTTAGTCCCTCCGTCTGTTGGGGTCGTCCTTTGTCGGGCTCAACATACGGATTATGTTTGTAGCGAAGTCGAGAGAAATCTGACACCCAGCTTTCCATACCTTAGTCACATTCTGCGGATTTTTTGGCGAGGTGGGGGTGTTCTTTCGACACTTGTGAACCGTTGTGATGATTTTAGAATCGAAATGCCGGTTGGCACTGAAGCGTTGGTTCGTGGGTGCCACTATTATGACACACATTTTTGGGAAACTGAAACATTTTGTGCCCTATCAGATTCGAATGGCGACTCTTGAGTTTCGTGCTCGGGGAATTTATGTCCCTTATAAATAGGGGAACTTGTCATCTGGTTGATTCACTTCATCATTTGTTTGAGAGAGTTCTTCGAATACTGCTTTTTCTGATACCTCGAATTTCTACTTTCCTTCTTGCTTATTGAAACCTTTCATCTCTTCTCTCTATTACTTCTCTTGGCGAGTTTTCTGCTAAAAATGGCTGGTGATTCTTCTCGGGATAATCTTCCTGCCGTTGATCTGATACCAGAAAGTTCTGTTCAGATCTCCTGAGAGGTAGATGTGGTGGAGGATGAGTAGGTTCCCTTGGTGGATGAGATTCTGCCTCGCCCCGGGAGGTATGCGACTGACTTTATTTTCGGCAGTGGAGCAGAGCCGGAACCCGTCGCTTCCATTGTTAGAGAAAGTGGGATTGTAGATTTTAGGGAACGGTGGGGAATTCCTAATTACATCGAGATACAGCCGGCGGAGAGGGACGATAGAGTTCAATTTGATCGCCTTGGGTATTGCATGTTCTACGCCTACCCCTTCATTGTAGGGTACGCACTTCCTCTTCCCATGTTGGTGGTAAATTTTAGCCGTTACTACGATGTGTTCCCGGCTCAGCTTTCGCCTTATTTGTACACGATTTTTATCATGCTGCTCAAGTATGCGGAACTTGCCGGTTGTGAGGTCACTTTGGGCCACATGCTTAGTATATTTGCTCCTCGACTGATTTGCGGTACGATGATTCACGCGCGTCCTCGAGGGTCGAGGGGTTTGGTGGTGAATATGGATGACAGAACCAATTGTCGTTTCTATGAGAATTACTTTTATGTGCAGATCGAGCACATTGTAGCGGACCCGACGGGATTCCCTGAGAGATGGAACTTCGCACGTAATTTTGCGTCTTTAATAAATGAAATATTTGACCGTTTTCTGCAGATGCTAAACCGTCTCGTCCTTTATAGCTGAGAGATTGCCCCTGCCGCCTATCAAAGGGATTCGCGAATGGGTAGAGGCCATTATTCCCTATACAGTGGGAGTTCATACATGGTCGACCTTTCACGAGAAGTTCGGGCGCAGGCCTCTTACAGGTGAGATGACGCCTTCATCTATAGTTCTCTTTTTCTTTTGTTGTTTATCCTATTATAGATCGTTCGTCATTGCCAGGGAGGGTGCGGAGAGCAAGGGCCCCTCAGCTAGCTTTTTGCCAGTCGGTCGCATCCGCTCGCCTTGCCGCCGTACCCGCTGTATGACCATCGTCGAGTGCTGCTTCGGTTGAATGTGCTGCCTTAGCTACTTTAGAGAGGATAGCTTTTCAGGATGAGGTCCCGACCAGTATCATCTGTCCTACGAACGAGTCACCGTCAACTGGAGAGGAAGAGGGGTCGTCGAAGAGACGAAGAGTAGAGTTTGAGATGGCGCCCCCAAAAGTGATTCACCTGGACGACTCTCCCACGACGGGCTTCGGAGAAGGTGTTTTTGTAGCTCCTCCCATAGAGGTCGCGCAAACTATTGAAGTTTTTGGTGCCCGTGATCAACGATCAGAAACTTCGGCTGCCGTCTTGGCTCAACCAGAAGTCTCTGCCGTCACTGATGATCAACACCTTATCGTGGCAGAGAACCAGACTTCTAGCACTACTGTTGTGACTTTAGATGTGCCCTCATCTTCAGCAGCGGATCGTGCTCCTCCTTCAGTAGTGGAAAGGGAAAAGGTGTGGTGGTTGATGAGTATGAATCTGAGTCAGACCTGGATTCTGATGATGTTAGGATGTTCGAGGAGGGCCTCACTCATTCGGTGGTTCATGCGGGGGGGCTCGGCCCGTATTTTTTAGATCCCTTCAGGCGTTAACCTCTTGGCGGAAGGGGAGGATCTAGTGCCGCAGTTCAGCTTGTTATGTTTAGAAGCTGAGAATGAATCCCTTCGGGATATCCCTGATACCGAGTTGAGGGGCGAGGTAGCCGTCATGGGCTTGAGGGTACATCGCATTTGGTTCTCGCTTTAATCTTTCCCCTTGTTCGAAAGTATTAGCTTAACCCTGTCTTTATGATTTTTAGACATACATGGTGGAAGTGGAAAGCATTCGTAGGGCCAACGTCCACGCAAGGATTTTCTTGAAGATGTTGGAGAACTATTGTTGCTATCGTGACAGATGTCGCGAGATGCACGAGCGGCTGAGGACAGATCTCCGCAATCGGGCTCTTGGTGAGGAGTTGGAGAGAAGGGATTAGGAATTGATGCAGACAATCCGTATCAAGAGCGAACTCGAGGAGCAGCTCCGCATTAAGGACGAGGAGCTTGAATTGGGTAAGGGGACCGCTGCGGAGTGTGAGCATTTGCAGGGCAAGTTGAGGCCTATGCAATCGGAGATGGACCAGAACTTGGTTAGGATCGAGGCGATGAGCGCCGAGTGGAGGAGGAAGTTGACCGCGATGGAGAGCAAGGTTGCTGGTTTGGAGAACATTGAGAGAGCCTGGTCTGAGGATTTGGCGAGGGAAGTGGCACTGGAGGACACCATCCGCGTACTCCAATCTGAACATGAGCTGTTGCGGCCCTAGAGGAAGAGAATGAGCGACTAAAGGCTTAGGTTGAATCATCTCCCGCCGCCATTCCTTGCCAAGTGCATGAGCTCTGGGTTTATGCTAAAGCCCAGCGGGACATATATAAGGGTTTGTGGGAAGCAGACACCGTGGCTAAGGCTGCTTATGAAGAAGTGCGAGCAAAATCTCGTGAGGCTCGCATCAACTATGGATACAACGTGGCGATGCCCAAAGCTAATGAGGGTGCGGATGGTGATAGTAGTGATGATGCAGGCAGTGATGACGCCGAATGAAGGCTCAGGTTGAATCATCTTTGTTTTTATTTTTATTTTGTTTGTTTATTATCGTCTGTTAGTTCCATATTCTCTTTTTTTTGGTTGGCCTGGGCCATATGAAAGCGGCGGTAGCCTGCACTATGACATTGCGTAAGTAAAAGTTTTATTCTTCGCTATTTGCTTTGTACTTCACTTTTTACTCCAATTGCTCATGGCTTCGGTGCAAGATAGAGGCTCGCCCGATGAGACTCAATTTTTCTTTTCTTCCGGCGGTTGTCAAACTTTTTTCTTTTTGGTGAAGGCCTTGGCCTTAAAGGGTGTTTATCGAAATAACAACCCGTCGTAGTTCGAGCAAGGTCAAAACTTTTTTTTTTTGATGGCGAAGGTCGTTGGCCTTAAAAGATGTTATTTCGAACTTATCGAAATGACAACTCGTCGTCATTCGATCGAGGTCAAACCTCTCTTTTTCTTGATGGCGAAGGCCCTTGGCCTTAAAGGGTGTATTTTCGAACTTATCGAAATAACAGCTCGTCGTCATTCGAGCGAGGTCAAACCTCTCTTTTTTTTTTTATGGCGAAGGCCCTTGGCCTTAAAGGGTGTTATTTCGAACTTATCGAAATGACAACTCGATGTCGCTCGATCGAAATCGAAACTCTTTTTTTTATGGCGAAGGCCCTTGGACTAAAAGGGTGTTATTTGGAACATATCAAAATAACAGCCCGTCGTCGTTCGAGCAAGTCGAACCTCTCTTTTTTTTATGGCAAAGGCCCTTGGCCTTAAAGGGTGTTATTTCAAACTTATCAAAATGAC